ACAGGCCATTAACTTAAGTCCATTTTATGTCCTGAGGTCAGCAGAGCATAGCAGGCTGCTGAGCAACGACACAGCTATGTGCAGGGTCCAAGTGTGCCATAGGCTAGAGACTAATCCCAAGGCTTCTCCTTATATACAGGAAGCAGACCATGTCACAAAGGCAGCTGCTTGTGGTAGATCCCACCATGGAATTGATTGCCAGTCTCATCATGGGGAATAACTACCACCAGCTGCCCAGCCACTCACCCAGGCCCAGCCAAATTGATACGCAAACATAACTACCACAGCCTGTATGCCTGTCTTTTATTTGGCTGGAAGCCACAGGAGTGGGTTCAATTCCAGACCTGAAGGGCAGTTAGGGACCATATTTTTAGTGGTTCTATCAGGTATTTTTATGGACATGGTTATAGCGCATAAAGATATGTGTGTACAAATATCATTTGCTAACCTTATATATGGTCATGGGTATATTCCCTTTTACGTAGACGTACCTGATCATTCAGCCTGTTTACCCATAGATTAATGTTTGTTATCACTGATAACACAGTAGTGTGTATGTAAAAGGAAACACATCAATTTTATTACCTCTCACAGTCCGAAAGGTTAACTGGGTTCAACTAGGCAGTTTTTACTTTGGGTCTCTCATGTGATTTCTGTCTGAAGGTGGCAGGGTGAGAATCATCTCCTTATGTGCCTGGTGCCTGGTCTGGAAAGAGTTGGATAGCTTAGGCCCTTACAGCATGTGGTCTCAGCACAGCAACTTCAGGGAGTTAGAATTTCTTCCCCGGTTTCTCAAAGCTCCATAGGGAGATGGTGAGCAATAGCTAGGCAGATGCTATATTGCTTCTGTAACTTGAAGGTCTTATGATGTCATTTCTGGCCCATTCTTTCAATTGAGGTAGTCACAGAGTCCTGCTCAGAGTCAAGGGAAGGGGCATAGACTGAATTTCTTAATAGTAGGACTGTGAAATAATTTATTTGCAGATTCGTGTTAAAACTGTCATCAAAGGAATAACCTCCTATGCATCATATATGAATGTTTTTATTGGACACTGTGTAGGCAAGGAGAAGTAAAACAGTGTAGTTTAGGAGATAAAGCTTTGGACCAGAAGGACTGATTCTAAACTTCGGTCTCTGTATCTCAAGTGTGGAGCTAAAGCCTTCCATGTGAAATATGGAGAGTATCTTTTGGGGGACATGTTTGAGGTAATGGAACTATCTTATACTTCAACATCAAGAAAGGTATTTAGTTAAGCATCCAAAACCATAGTGTTGAAATTTGCTTTTTTCTTAGTTTTAATTTAACTTTTTTTTTAATGCAGTAGAGTACTTTCTTTAAATGAACTCATGCCGTTATGTAAAATGTTGGAGGGCATGGGAGCCTGGGAGTTTTGCAGTGGCCTCTTCTAAACCAACCCAAGGGAATCCATGGAGTACAAGCAAGAACCACTGATCTAGAATAAGTGTGCTTTTCAGTTAAGGAACTAATTAGATATATACTTGAGAAGTACCTAAGTATGAGGATCCCGTGATAAAAACAATTATCCAAAAAGGTCTTTGAAATATGTTCTTGACCTTTCTGATTATCTGGCTCTTGCATATTCTGGTTTCCCCTCCCAAGGGAATAGTTGTCCTATTTTATGTTTCTGATTTATGTAGCTCAATTAGGAGATCTTCCTTTGTAGTATAGGCCGATACATTTTAGCATTTTGAAAATGTCTTTTAAGATCTGTTCTCTGGTTTGCTTTATCCCATGACTGTAGTTAAAGTCAAAGAGGAGAAGTTTTAAAATAAAAATTTAATTTCTATTTATTTGAAAGGTACAGCAATCTTATTCTCATAGGTGGCAAGAGGGGTATTACTAAATAAAACAGTCGTAGGTTCAGGTAATTTGAGAATCTGACCTCTATTTCCATTGTAGAATCATCCAATTGCCTTGATTGTCTGGATAAAAAATAGAGATCATTCTTTTTTTTTTTTTTGGCATGATAGGACATCAAATTTGAAAGCTTCCTCCTTTATAAATAATTCAAGTGGTGGTTAGAAACCTTGCATTCTCAAGGCCACTTGGTGTTTCACTGTGAGTCTTCCTTTTTCACTAGATTTTGGTCCTGAACATTCTTTTAAGGATTCTTCCTCAGCTAGTTCCTTCTCTGTGTAGTCACCAAGGAGATCAGAATAAACCCTGTACCTATGGTAGTGATCATGTTCAAGTCTTTAGTGGTTTATATTGAACTGGTAACTTTATTTGACCACTCTTTTTACTTCTCATTATTTCTTTTTTTTTTCTTTTTTTTTTTTATTAGGATTTGGGTGAAGATTTACAGAGTAAATTCACTTTTCATACAGCAGTTCACATATACTTTGTCTCATGTCA